AGTGACACTCTGTCTCAAAAGAAAAAAAATACAAAAGCGTCTTAGTAGCTGAGTTTTTGAAACAGCCTAAATATATAAAACTAGGTGGGTGGATAAAGAAACTATTGTCATCCATCTTCAGTCATTAAAAAGTAGAACTGAGAGCTCCCAATAGCACCAAAGTGAAAAGAACCTTAGGCCAGGCACGTTGGCTCTGCAATCTTAGCACTCTGGAAGGCCCAGGTGGGTGGACCAACTGAGCTCAGGAGTTCAAGACCAGCCTGAGCAAGAGTGAGACCCTTGTATCTAAAGGAAAAATTAGCAGGGCATTGTGGCAGGCATCTGCCATCCCAGCTACTCGGGAGGCTGAGGCAAGAGGATCACTTGAGCCCAAGAGTTTGAGGTTGCTCTGAGAACACCACAGCACTCTACTCGGGGGGATAGAGTGAGACTCTTGTCTCAAAAAAAAGAGCCTTTATACCCATATCTTGTGTCCCCCTCCTCCATGTGCCTGGACAGCAGGGAAATAGCAAAGGTTTTAATTTTTTCTTAGCACTTGTCTGAATTTCTCTAATTAGTAACAGAAAAATTGTTAACCATATATCCCTCTGACTGATATTTCAAGGTGCCTGTCATGCTGGGACCCTGTTCTCAGCACTACACGTGTGTCAAAGCAGCTAATCCCACTAAAATCTGATGGGGTAGACTCTACTATTACATCTATTTCACAGAAAAGGAAACCAAGATCCAGATGGATTAGGCAAACTACCCACCGTCACAGAGACAATCTGCCCTGGAGCTCAGGCCTGAATCCCCTCGCTATCATAATAATCAGGAAAGGGCAGGAAAAAAAGGCACTTTCTGGAGGAACAATGATTAAAGCACCAACCTGACCCCATGAGCAAATGTATCATTTTCTTCCAGTGCCTTCTGCAACATTTGCACACATTTTCTACTTTTTCCCCCCTGCCCATTTTCAATATTCTGGAATGAGCTAAAAATACATAACATATAAAAATAATGAGATTCTTATGCTTGTCTACTTGAGCAGGAAAACTTCCCTATTAGGACAAACCGAGGGATGTGCAGTTTCAGCCAAGAGTGAAGAGCTGATGGCTAGCAAAGGACAGCAAAGAAGAAGGCAGCTGCCAAGTTCAGGAATTGCCTAATCTGTGCGGCCAGTGAGAAAGGAGGAGGATCTGAACTCTGAAAGGCAGACAGGGGCAGACTGTGGGCTGGGAGACTGGGGGACACTCACAAAGGTCAGAACAGAGCACACCATGGATGCCGGGTGGCTTCCCACCCCCCCGAGACCCTGCTCAAATATCTCTCAGGTTAGAAACCCAGCCATTTTAAGACTGCCATCTTTGTGGGTCACAAATGCTGAGATAGGCCAGGCACGGTGGTTCACGCCTATAATCCTGGCACTCTGGGAGGCCAAAGTAGGCAGATCGCTTGAGCTCATGAGTTCCAGACCAGCCTGAGCCAGAGCGAGACCCTGTGTCTACTAAAAATAGAAAAACTAGCCAGCTGTGGTGGGCACCTGTAGTCCCAGCTACTCAGGAGGCTGAGACAAGAGGATCTCTTGAGCCCAGGAGTTTGAGGTTACTATGAGCTATGATGCCACAGCACTCTACCCAGGACACAGAATGAGGCTCTGTCTCAAAAAAAAAATGCTGACATATTGGCAGTTTCATACAGTTCCATTTATACATACAGCCACAGAGTTATATTGGCAAAATTCAAAGAAAGTGCTCATCATCAAATGTAAAACAGTATAATTTCTATCACCTTCTTCTGACATTTCTCCTCCTCCTCACCTTTTCTTCCTCTCCCCTCCACTCCCCACACCCTCCCCCCTTCTTCATTTCCCCTTGCCTCTTCCTCCTCTTCTTTGAAACTATATTAGGAGCCTAACTTTCAGTCTTTTTTGTTGTTGTTGACACAGGGTCTCACTCCATGGCCCTGGGTAGAATACTGTGTTGTCATTATAGCTCATACCAAACCTCAAACTTGGGCTCAAAGAGATCTTTTTTTTTTTTTTTTCTCCAGTTTTTGGCTGGGGCGGGGTTTGAACCCACCAACTCTGGTTATGGGCCCGGCACCCTACTCCTTGAGCCACAGGCACCGCCTCAAAGCAAAACTCTTGCCTCAGCCTCCCGAGTAACTGGAACTACAGGTGCCCACCATGACACCCAGCTAGTTTTTCTATTTTCAGTAGAGACAGGGTTCTCACTCTTGCTCAGGTTGGTCTCACACTCCTGAACTCAAGCAATCCACTCACCTCAGCCTCCCAGAGTGCTTGCTTACATCACAGACGAGAGCCACCACGGCTGGCCCTAACTTTTTCAGTCTTAACTCACCACCTGAGAGCATTACACAAGGCAGATTCAAACAGCTGCATGTGTGTGCATGCATTCATGTATGTATATGGAGGGAAAGGCCAAGAGGCTGCCCACTCTGTTAGCTCCAGCTCACGGCTCCAGGCTACTTGAAGGGCATGTGGCCAACCCCCATGTTCCCCCCAGCAGGAGAGGAAGAGAATGGCACTGGCAGGCAGGCCACACTAGCCACTCAGACCCTAGACCTTGGGCTCTGCATGATGCAAAGTGTTTGCCGGGATCTTTCAGTACTGAAGCTCCTGGTAATAAACAAAACTTCTGGCCAGGAGCAGTGGCTCATCCCTATAATACCAGAATTTTAGGAGGCCAAGGAGGGAGGATCACTTGAGGCCAGGAGTTTGAGACCAATCTGGGCAACATGGCAAGTCCCCATCCATTAAAAAAAAAATTAAAAAATTAGCCAGAAGGGGCAGTGCCTGTGGCTCAAAGGAGTAGGGTGCTGGTCCCATACACTGGAGGTGGTGGGTTCAAACAAACCCCGCTCTGGCCAAAAACTGCAAAAAAAAAAAAAGTTAGCCAGAAGGGTGGCACTGTGGCTCAAAGGACTAGGGTGCCAGCCCCATATGCTGGAGGTGGCAGGTTCAAACCCAGCCCTGGCCAAAAACTGCAAAAAAAAAAAAAAAATAAGCCAGACTGTAGTCCCAGCCACTCAGAAGACTGAGGTAGGCCAATCACTTGAGCCCAAAAGTTCAAAGTTACAGTGAACTTTGGCCACTGAACTTTGGCGTTGGCAACAAAGCAAGATCCTTTCTCTAATAAAATAAAAAAAAAATCTGAAAAAAGAAAAGAAATAAACAAAACTTCTTAGGTTGTACTATCTTTTGCAGCCTGATCACCTGCCTGAAACTCAGACGTTCAAAGGCAAAGGAAATGAATAGCCTAGAAGGCAGGGCGTGTGTGTGCCTTTTGGCTGGGAACCTGGACAGACCAGATGAGTTCAAGTGCAGGCTCTGTACCCTTCCCGGCTGCGAGAGCTTGAACAGGTTTGGCAGCCTTACCCTCTGGATAAGGGAGGATGACCACAGCAGCGACTGTCTCATGGGGTTGTTGTAAAGTTTAAAGGTATTCAGCATAGGGCCTTAGAGTCTTACAGAAAAGACCAAAACATACTTATTGACTGAAAGCTATAAAACTGCCTTCTCTAGAGAATTTAAAAATCTGCCCAAGGGTCATCAGGTGTAGTCTAAACAGCAGTGGCATTCCCAGTCTAGTAAGCTGTCACTTCCAACCTAGGAGATCACTTTATACTAAGGAGACACAACTCTCAGCCTGCTACCCAGGCTAGTGAAGAAATGAATACAAGTTCCAGACACCGAGGCAGGACTTCATTTCTTTGACACCTTGATTTAAAACAATAAAAATGCTTTTCTAGTTTCAAAGAGGAGCTTTTAGGCACGCTGCCAGGATGCAATAGGGACTATTTTCCTTCAGGGGGTCCCAATTGGCCTTATAGAGCTGAGAACCTGGGGAAACATGCAAAACAATAAGCCATCTGTGAGGCTTTCAGACACTGCAATTTGCAAGAAGTGCTTTTATATTTTAGTAGGGCGCTGCAGAAAGTCAGGATTAATTAATTACTACATTAAATGAGAGCACCTTTAGCATTTCGATGACATAATCATGTGCAATTATGATCACAGAAAGGCATACTTTATAATTAATGATGTCTCTGTTTCCTGAAATGTGTAATCCTTGTGTCTTGAATTCCAAAGAGGCTGGCAGAGAGAAGCCCTTAAATATAGATGAGGAATTAATATTTAAATCAGTTCTTAATTCACCTTTTAATATGAACAATAAAAACCAGAACAAAAGCTTACCATCATCATGACTCTGCTAAGTCTTTATGTCTATGAGGCAAATTATCTGGCAACAGATTCCAGCAGAAATGGGCAACAATTACAGGCCTGAAATGGTTATCCTCGATAGCAATAATTTTGCTCTAGCAAGCGTATTAACTGCTTTTCCAGAAATGCATTACAACTCACTCCAACTGTCCCCACTTTGGCAACCAAGCTATAGTCTCACTTAACAAAGCCCTCTCTCTCATCTCAGTGACTTAAAAATGAAAATGTTTTCGTCTTCCAATTAGGGGAGTTTCTCATAAAATTGCCAACACCCTGTACCACCGAGCAGTGTTCTAAGTACTTGACATGTAATGGCTCAGTCTTCACAATAATCCTGAGATGGGTACTATTACAATTCTTATGTAATAAATAAGGACACTGAGGTACCGCGTTGTTAAAAAAATAATTTGTCTAAGCAAACAACAAACCAGACAGGACAAAGAGACCTTCTACATTTTAACATTCATTTTGTCACTCAGGCAACTCAACATTAGGGAAACCTCAGAATTTCCCCATATCTCTCAAGTTCTTCAGCTATGTACAAATGAAAACGCAGAGGAATGCAAAATTAATCCCACGGTAACTTCCGGGGGTGTGGTGGTGGTGGTTCTCTACTCAATAGTTTTCCTCAAGAAAAAGAAAAGGCACAGCCCCGCTCCATCTCAATTCCTAATTCAATCCATCGGACACTGTTTTCTTTCACCAATGAAACACGAAGGGGAATTCCACCCACCCCGCACCCCGGCAGTCTCAGGCAAGGTCACCAAAGGCCTACCTTGTCATAATAGTATCTCAGGGCTCTGCTCAGCTTATCGTAGTTCATATTTGTCTTGTTCTTTCGGAGTCCCCACAGCTTGGCCACTTCTTCTGCTTTGAGAAGTTTGAATTCACCATCGTTCGAGGTCCAGCAGATCAAATGCTCATGTTTCTGGTCCAGCAGCAACTGCAACAGGAACTGCCACAGCGTGATTGCACTCTCCATACCTGGGGAGGAGGGACCGGGTCAGAGCTCGCGTCAGGGCGCCACGCACGAAGGGGGGAGGGGAGGGGTTCAGCAGGGGCTACTCCGCCTACCCCCTCCCCACCCCCACCCGCCCCAGAGAACCCCATGATGAAAACTAGCTTTGATTTCCACCGCACCAGGCCATTCTAAGCTGGGAGCTTTTATGGCAGCTGGTTTGTAAACAGCCACCACTCGGCGAGAAAGCCCCCTGATCCCCCCATATTCATCACACCTCTCCCCCCAAGTGACCGCAAGGCTTCAGACTAATGTAAAACAGAGGTCTGGAGCGGTGCCTCAGGCCTGTAATCCCAGCACTCTGGGAGGCCGAGGCGGTGGATCACTTGATCGCGCGGGTTCGAGACCAGCAGAGCAAGAGCGAGACACCCCCCCTCCCCCATCTCTAAAAAATAGCCGGGCGTCGTGGTGGGCGCCTCTCGTCCCAGCTACCCGGAAGCTGAGGCAAGAGAATCACTTGAGCCCAAGAGTTGGAGGTTGCTGTGAGCTGTGATGCTCCAGCACTCTACTCTGGGTGATAGAGTGAGACTCTGCTCAAAAAAGAGAAAAAATTAAATAAATAAATAAGCAAATCAATCAACAATGACTAGCGAAAAGACCACTCGGAGAAAGAGTCCTCATTCAAACGCTTCCCCGCTTAACGCGAGCATCTGTCCCCACCCATCCCGTGTCCTTCTCCGCGTCCAGCCTCCAGAGGCCGTGCAGGCTGCGCCCAGCCTATTTATCTGGGCACGGGCGTCACCAGGGGGCGTGCTGTCGGCGTCTCCGTACCGTCGGCGTCCCCGCACCGTCGGCGTCCTCCCCGTACAGTCGGCGTCTCCGTACTGCCAGCGTCCTCCAGGTACTGTCAGCGTCCTCCCAGTACTGCCGGCGTCCTCCCTGTACCGTCGGCGTCCCCGCACCGTCGGTGTCTCCGTACTCTCAGCGTCCTCGGCGGGCATCCCCCGCACCGTCGGCGTCCCCAGCGTCGGGTCCTTCCTACCACGTGGCGAACGCCACACGGAAGAGACTTGCCCGATATTGTGAGCTGCCTGCCGTCTGCTAACCGCGCACAGCGCTCACACACGGCAGGGCCCCGTCAGCCCGTGCCCGTGGGACCGAAGAACTGACGCCGCCAAATTGCAGAGCCCTGTCCCTTCCTTTCCTAGCAAACCGCAAGGTCACAAGTGCCCAGAAGGGAAAAGCTGTTTTTCCCTCTACCAGAGGAGCGCCTATAAAATGGCATCCTTGACCAGCGTGGTGTAATTCCAACAATCGGGGAGGCCAAGGAGGGTGGATGGCTTGAGTTCACGAGTTTGAGACCACCCTAAGCGAGAGCGAGACTCCGTCTTTAAAAAAACTAGCAGGGCGTTGTGCCGGGCCCCTGTAGTCCCAGCTGTTGGGGAGGCTGAGGCAAGAGGATCGCTTGAGCCCAAGAGTCTGAGGTTGCTGTTGATGCAGGACAAGCGGCATCCCAGTCTGAGCTGGGGAAGCACGGACCAGCTGCCTCCACCTTGGCAATGTTGGTGCGGTAACAGCAAGCAGCAGAACCAGCAGGCTGGAGGGTGGGCAGGGGGTCCCCATTTCCTAGGCCTGGGACTAAAAGGGATTGTAGCCATTAATTTGCAACCCAGACAGATGTCCCAGACACGCTAAATGTAACCTATTGTTCCAGACAGACAGACGTCAGAGGCACGCTGAATGTAACCTGTTGTTCCAGACAGACAGATGTCCCAGACTCGCTAAATGTAACCTGTTGTTCCAGACAGACAGAAGCCACAGGCACACCCCGCTAAATGTAACTATCCAGGGCCCCATGCGACTATATATACCCCTAGACGAAGAGCCGACAGAGAAGGAGAGAGAGCACTTTTCTCGCCTGTCTCCAGTTTTCTGTCAAGAGCTCTGGCACTTCTGTCTTCTTTTCTGTACATAAATCCTGTCTTACCACTGATCTGTGGTCTGCAGATTCATTCTTTGAATCACCAGGAACCTACTGAAGAGCGAAATTCTCATATCACTGTGAGCTGTGATGCCACAACACTCTACTGAGGGCAACAAAGTAAGACTCTTGTCTCGGAAAAAAAAAAAAAAAAAAGTCATCCTTTTCCTTAGACTGGGGTGTGAACTTCATAAGTACTGTTTCTTCTACCTCAAATGTTCCCTAGTTTTGGAGCCTGGTGAACTCCTATTCATCCGTCATGACCCCACTCAAATGGGGGTCTCCTCAAAGACAGTTTTCTCCTGGGCAGTTTTCCAGCTTTAGTCATTTGAGGACTTTCATGGCAATGGGCACTGATTCTTTTCTTTCTTTTCTTTTGAGACAGTCTCACCCTCCATAGAGTGCTGTAACATCACAGCTCACAGCAACCTCCAACTCTTGGGCTCAAGTGATTCTCTTGCCTCAGCCTCCCAAGGAGCTGGGACTACAGGCACCCGCCACAACGCCTGGCTATTTTTAGAGACCTCTTTTAGAGATAAGGTCTCCCTCTGGCTTGGGCAAAACCTGTGAGCTCAGGCAATCCACCAGCCTTGGCCTCCCAGAGTGCTAGGATTACAGGCGTGAGCCACCACACCCAGCCAATGCACACTAATTCTAAATAATAATAATAATCTATCTGTTGCATCAATATTCATTAAATTAGAAGAGTGGTTATCAGTTACTGATCCTAAAGAAAATAATTCTCATCTCCCCCTCCCATCTAAAATGAGGGCATATAAATTTCTGGATTCCATCGTGATACTAGATAATCACCCTGTTATTTTTCCATGTGTATGATAAATAAATATTTCTCTTATTAAAAAAAAAAAAAGAAGTGGCTAGGCTGGCCATGAAAGCTTCTCTGCAGATCAAGTGTGGTTAAGTGGACACCTCAAGTGCCCTCAGTTGGGATGGGACAGAGGAAGCCAGGAAAGGCCAGAAGGTGGAAAGCTGGTGTCCTGCCTGCAGAGAAGCTCCAGAACCAAGCCCACAGAGAACTAGGACCCATGCCCTACTACGGCAGGGAGACACTTAAGTGCTGGGTGGAGCCTGGGGTAACAGCAACCAGGGGGCAGCAAGAAAGATGCAGAACTCTTTGAAAACAGAAGCCAGAATAATCGCCGTGGGGAGGATTATTTGTACCTATACTCCCTAACTCCAGGCATTCCTCTCACAGGTGCAGATTGCAGATTCTGACAATTATTTTTCTCTCTTTCCTCACAAAAATGGATGTGAAAATATCTAGCCACCCGTTAAGTATTCATTTCCTTATTTCTCTTAACATGTTTAACCAGAAGAATGCATCTTATTGTTTCTCTGAGCACCGTAGGTACAACATTGAGTTCCTCTGTTAAAGGACAGCAGACGAGGAATGCTGCCCAGATACCCACAAGGCATTTTATTTATGGCCCTGTAAGGGGGATATGCTTTACAAAGATCAATATGCCCCGCAACCGTCACTCCAAGACAGTAAATCGTTCCACTGTTGGATCAAAACTACCTTTTCAGTTCCTGCATCTTGCAAGTCCAACTGCTGGGACTCTGAGCAGCTGACAGGCTCCAGCTCCTAATATGAACCACCCTTCTGATCATCGGAGGATGAGCTACTCATTTTCTTCTCTCCGCTGGCGCTGAGAACTGCTAACAGTTGTCTCTAGTTCTTGAGGTTTCCTCAGCAAACACTTCAGACAGTAAACTAGCTTAAAATATCTTTGAAACTAAGTAGATGTTTGAAGGATCCTGCTCGGAAGGGCAGAGGCTGCAGTGGGTTTGGAGGTCTGGAAGGAAGGGACTGCTGGGCCTCCAGCCCACGCGCCAGACAAGAGAGTGGCCAGCCACTGCCACCACCACCCCTTTCACGGACATCACATTCCAAATGGGACAGCAGGGGAACAGAAACATCTATCCACATATTTCACACATAGCGCTTCAGCCGAGAGGGCCTCTCTGAGCTTCTTGTGCTTCCTGGAATCTCTTTTCATGGCGTTTCTAGCCCATGTGGCAGAGAGCATGTTCTGGGGGAGTGACTTGTGAGGGCCTATAGGGCAGAAGAGTTTAATGTACACAGGTCTTCACTCCTTACGTGACTCTGCAGCATGGCACGAGACAGGGTGGGGTATTTTTTCCAGCCCCATCCATGTCTGGTCTTGACAATCTGATTTCACCTGGCAGATGGACTAGGGTGTAGAAGTAGCTGATGTTCTGATTCTGAGCTGGGGTCTTATCAGGCACTGTAAGTCTGCACTTACTTTCCCTCCTGTGCTCTTCTTCCTGCAGGAAGCCCCACCCACCGAGAGTCTAAAGCAGCATCCCTGATGCCGACTTATGAGAAAAATAAATGCCACTGCAAGCCAGCAACTCTTGGGGCAGTTTGTTATGCAGCACCATTGCAGCAAAAGTTGATTATTCTAACACATATCATCTTGGTTTAAAGAAAAGTTCTCCCGACTGCCCATATCTTCACACTCTAGAGCTCAAGTTCACAATCATGAGCTGTGTCTAGACTCAGAAAAGCATGCTGCTGGCTCGGCACCTGTGGCTCAAGTGGCTAAGGCACCAGCCACATACACCTAAGGTGGCAGGTTCGAATCCAGCCCGGGCCCACCAAACAACAATGATGGATGCAACCAAAAAATAGCCAGGCGTTGTGGTGGGCGCCTATAGTCCCAGCTACTTGGGAGGCTGAGGCAGGAGACTCGCTTGAGCCCAGGAGTTAGAGGTTGCTGTGAGCTATGCTACAGCACTCTACCCAGGAGGATAGCTTGAGGCTCTGTCTCAAAAAAAAAAAGAAAAGAAAAGCATGCTGCTAACGTGGGCAGACTGGCAGATCACACCTTTACTCATAGGCCACAGCAGGTAGTGACAGCCACAGGTGTCTGATAAATTTATTCCAATAAATTGGAATGATACAGAGAAGATTGGCACAGCCCCTGCACAAGGATGACATGCAAATTCGTGAAGTATTCCTTCTTTTTTTTTGCAGTTTTTGGCCGGGGCCGAACCTACCACCTCCAGTATATGTGGCTGGCTGGCAATCCACTCCTTTGAGACACAGGCACTGCCCTAGTGTTCCATATTTTTTATAACAAAGATATTTGCACCAGAATGTTTATTGCAGCCCAATTCATAACTGCAAAGTCATGGAAGAAGCCCGTGCCCATCAATCCATGAAAGGATTGATAAATTGTGGTATATGTACACCATGGAATATTATGCAGCCTTTAAAAAGATGGAGACTTGACCTCTTTTATGTTTACACGGATGGAGCTGGAACATATTCCTCTTAATAAAGTATCTCAAGAATGGAAGAAAAAGTATCTACTATGAAACCAGTATATAACCACCCACACTTACGTATGAAAGATATAAAACAACTATAGCCCAAAACGAAGGGGGGAAGAAGAGGGGGAGGGAATGGGAAAGGATGGGTGGAGGGAAGGTAATCGGCGGGACCATACCTATGGTGTATTTTGCAAGGGTACATGGGAAATCTGTTATGTATAGAGTATAAATGTCTTAACACAATAATTAAGAAAGTGAGGTGAAGGCCATGTTAACCAGTTTGATGTAAGCATTCCAAACTATATAAAACCAGCACATTGTACCCATAAATGCATTAATGTACACAGCTATGATTTAATAAAAAAAAATAGAAGAAAGGAAGAAAAAAAAAGAATTGTGGAAGAGTAGAAATAAACAGGCAGAGGAGCAAATGGTGGGGATGGGGACCTGCTGTTTCACGGGTTCCTAGAATTCCAGAAAGGAGGAACTTGGCTGAGGGATGACAGGGAACTATATACCAGGAATCATGGAGCTGCCCCTCCAACTCGCCCCAGCTGCAGAGCTTGGGTGGTGGCTGGGGGCGTCAGGGAGAACACTGAGGATTACTCACAAGGGCTGCTTGTGAGCAACAGGGCTCCTGCGGAAGTGACTAAGGGCTCAGGCCCAGCCTCGCTCCCCGCCTCTCAAGCTCGCCCCAGCCACTCCTTGGCCCTGGTGGATCCACCGGTTTCAATGACTGTATAGTCACATAGAGCTCTACTGTTTGTTGGAAATCCCAGGCACACGTTACTCAGAGATGAGACTCAAAGATATTTCCCTGTGAGCTCATCCTCCTATCTACAAAGGAGGGTTCCTCCTTCCTACACTCAGCCATTCTGGTATATCAAGGAGGCCCAAGGCAGCTCTGGACCCATCACTTCTCTGGCCAGAGTGTCTGTGTGATTATGATGGGTGGGTGTATGAGGGAGTGGGGAGGGGGACAGGTGGGCATTGGGCCACCAGTTGACACTGCTGCTGTGGCTCTCTCCATTCAAGGGCACTCGCTTTGTTTAAGTTCCACTCTTAATGTATTTTTATCATGATGAAATCGAGTTTTATAATCTACCAACAATTTTCATATACAATTATGTTTGTTCCGTCACACCTCTGCCAGCTATAAATTTTGCCCTCCAGGGTGTTGGAAAGAATAAAGTTCTACCATTGTACTGGCAAGCATGCCCTTCCAATAACCACTAACAGTGTACATATTTGTAAAGTCATCTACGCACCTCATCAGAATAAAAACTTAGGTGATTATTTTTCTAAATAAATCCCTCGATGCCTACAATCCAAACTGAAGTCCGCTATCTTAACATGTAGGCACAATAACATCATCTGCTGGAACGCCACTGTAAGGAATGTTATTCATTCAAACAGCATGGCTCTTACTAAATAAAACGTTCAAGGAAAGTATTCATACTTGAGATTTATGTCTGATAACAGTATTAAGCACACAGAGGATGGCTTCAAGTTAAAATGTTTTATCAACCCAACTTCATTTAGCTGATTTCCCACAGCTCAGCTTAAAAATATCTGTAGAACACACGGAAGAAATGCCCAAGATCTTTTAAAAATATGACCCAAGTTTTTTCTAATTTGAAAATGCTTCTCTTT